ATTTTTACTATAAATAGAAATTCTAGAAAATGAAAGTTTATTTTCACTTTTTAAAATAGCACATATTCAATGGCATACCTATAATATATTGATGTACGTATGCAAGTATGCATATGTAATAGATGGTTTTGTGAAGTGAATGTGTGTATTAGCGCAAGGGTATATAGTGAAAGTATCTTGCTGCATAAAACAATAAATAATTGTTATTATCAGTGGTGTAAATTAAAAATAAAATTTTATGAGAAAATTTTATTTTGCATTTCAAGCTTTTCTAGGTTTACGTTCATTTTTTTCTGCTACAACGGTTATTAGACCTAACTAGTTTTATATTATAATTATTTATTAAATATATATTCATGGCAGTTGAAAATCAAATAAGTTTGTAAAATTTTCTAATACATAAGATGTAATTAAAACTTCCATTTAATATACAGAACCAATTGGTTCAAAAGCGCCTGCATTTACTACAGAAGTAGCAACATTTTCTCATAGATCACCAGAAAATATTTCTTTAGCATTAACTTGTCAAGCTCAAGCATTTCCAGTACCTGTTTTTAGGTAATTTTTTTTCTTTAATAATAAAATTTCATATTATTTAAATTTTTTTAACGAAAATAAAATTGAGTATTTGGTTAACATTTTGGCAGTCTAAACTAAAAAATTCGATTGCTCGCATAAAATATAAGGTGTAGATTTTAACTATAAAAAATTTTTTATAGAACCTGTTGGTCATAAGGCGCCATCTTTTCCAAGTGTTGCCAGCACATTTACAATTTATTCTCCACAAAAAGAAACACTTGCATTAACTTGTGAAGCTCAAGCATTTCCTGTTCCAGTATTTAGGTGAAAAAAAAATATTTATGTTTGTCAGGGAAATAAACGCATATATAGACTTATTTTTTAAAGAAATTATATTTTAAATCTTTAGTTTACCTTGTTCTTAATTGATATTAGATATATCACTTTGATTTAAAGTGTTATTATAGAGGAATAAAAAAAATTTTAAAAATATTCAGAGCAGTTAAAATTTTCTATTGATTTTGTAACATAACAGAAGATCACTTATGTAGTAAATACAAAATTACAGAGCCTGTTGGTGCTAAAGCCCCAACATTTTCAAGTGATTCAAAAGGAAGTATATTTGTGCGTTCTGTTAATTCAAGTTTTGCTCTCTTGTGTCAAGCTCAAGCGTTTCCGGTTCCTTTAATAAGGTAAAAAAAATTCACTTATATATTGTTGATTAAGTCGCAGTTTCATGTACTTAACTCTTATAAAATTTCAGGTTGTTAAATATTTTTATTTTTTATAAAAAATATTTATATTTAATTATTTTATTTGTTGTTAAAATTTTAAGAGCCAGTAGGTGCTAAACCACCAACATTTGCTTCGGCTTCAAAAACTAGTAGCTATGTTGAAAATCAGGGAAATAGTTTTTCATTATTGTGTCAAGCTCAAGCATTTCCGGTCCCCTTAATAAGGTACCTATTAATAAAAATAAATACAAATGAAAAAATCCGTTCATTCAGGGCAGAGGTTTTTAAATAACTGTAAGGATTAATGAATTTTTGTTCGTCTTTATAAAATATTATTTTAAATATTTTTAAAAATTTTTAGAACCAGTTGGAGCAAAAGCACCAACATTCTCAACCGATTCAAACGTATTTTCATATACTAGAAGTATAAATCAAAGTTTTGCACTTCTATGTCAAGCTCAAGCATTTCCTGTCCCATTAATTAGGTAGGTAAAGAAAAATTATAAAATTTGCCTTAAAGAATGTTCAAGGCGGTATGAATGTTAATAATTATTTGAAGTTCAGGTGGTTTTTAGGTCGTTTTTATAAATTTTTTTTTTTTGAAATATTTATCACTTTTGTTGAATTTAAATTTTGTGTAATATCAGAACCTGTAGGTGCAAAACCACCAACATTTTCAACGGATTCTGAAAGTTCTAGGTATACAAGACATCTTAATCAAAGTTTTGCTCTTCTCTGTCAAGCTCAAGCATTTCCGGTTCCATTAATAAGGTAATTTTAAAAATAATTAAGACAATGGAGATATTAATTATGCGGTGTTACGGGAAATCGTTATTAGAATTTGACAAAACCATTTTCATTTCATTTTTTGATAAAGATGATTTTGAATTTTAACGATTAAATGATTTTTAGAACCGGTTGGAGCCAAAGCACCAACCTTTTCAACTGATTCTGATATTTCACGATACAGTAGACATCAAAACCAAAGCTTTGCACTTTTATGTCAAGCTCAAGCTTTTCCAGTTCCATTAATAAGGTAAACATTTTATAAATAACTACAATTCAATAAATAGTTTGTTTATTATCCAAACTTCTTAACAGTGTCAATATTTTACTGTAATTTTACTTTGCTTATGAGTTTTGCTATTTTTGTTCGTCTGTCCGTGAAATTCGTGAACGCAGGAAGAGAGCGATTTGAAGCATATAATGAGACGAAATATTGCGTTAAAATAATATATAAGAACTCTTACATACATTGTGTATGTATACACAGCTCGTTTACATAAAGTATTTTGTATAATAGTTTGTTACCTTGTAACAATTTGAACACTATCTCTATACGTCTAAAGTTACTAAAGGTACTAGCAAATATTTATAAAGTCCCAACATTTAGTGAAGCATATGCATGTACATATATATTCAAGAAAGATATCTTAGTGAAATATAATACAAATTTTAATATGAAAATTTTCATGTTACAAATAGAGCCTGTTGGAGCTAAAATTCCAACTTTTTCTAATGATGCCAAAAGTTCAACTTTTATAAAGCATGTCGGTCAAAGTTTTGCCATGTTATGTCAAGCTCAAGCATTTCCAGTTCCGTTAATAAGGTACGTTAAATCGTGACCATTCATTCATTTGTCCTATTCATTTGTGAAATTTTCGTCTATAACAAATGCATAGAAAATCTTTTTGGTATTAGTATTCGTAAATTGCTCTTAAAATTTGTGGTAACTAAAATTTTAATACAAAAGTTGTATCCGTTCCCGTTCCCATAACCAGGCACTTTTTTTTTTTAAAGTCCAATTAGAATTTAATTTCTCATTCATAAATTTTTATAATTAGAACCAGTTGGTGCTAAGGCTCCAACATTTAATACAGATTCCAAAATATTTTGGTATACAAGAAATAAGGATCAAAGTTTTGCTTTATTATGTCAGGCTCAAGCATTTCCAGTTCCGCTTATAAGGTATAAAAAATTATTTGTAAGTCAAATATAGTACTTATTTAAAAAAAAAATATTTTCACATCTTTCTCTATCCCAAACAAAGGCACTAGTTTATTACTTCTTTTAGTCTATACTATTTGTACTGATAATATTTTTGACATTTTAGAACCTGTTGGTGCAAAGCCTCCAACATTTTCAACAGCAGCAAAAAGTATTTCATACGTTGAAAAAGAAGGCAATAGTTTCTCATTATTATGTCAAGCCCAAGCATTTCCTGTACCTTTAATAAGGTGAATTGTTTTTTTAACGAATTTTCGTGCAATTTAAAATATCGAACATTAAGGGTTTTATTTTCCTAAGATTTAGGCGGTTGTTTTTGGAAGATTTTTATAATTTAGTTTAAATTTTAGAACCAGTAGGGGCTAAAGGTCCAACATTCTCAACTGATTTAAAAAGTTCTTCTTTTGAAAAACAAGTCGGTCAAAGTTTCGGAATGTTGTGTCAAGCTCAAGCATTTCCTGTGCCACTAATAAGGTTTGCAATATAAGATATTAAAAATATTTATTGATTTATTATTCTAATTTTTTGCCAAGGTGGGCATACGTGAAAATTTTTAAAAATTTTTAATTTTGTCAAGGTAGGGTTACGTGAAACTCTTTAAAAAATTTTTGGTTTTTTTTTTTTTTGCAAAGGGGTACGTGAAAATTTTTAAAAATTTTGGTTTTTGCCAAGGTAGGGGTGCGTGAAAATTTTTACAAAATTTTGAGTTTTTTTTGCTAAGGAAAGGGTACGTGAAAATTTTTAAAAAATTTTTAATTTTTTTGAAAAAATAGGGGTAGTTCCAACTCCTAACATTGGGTTATTTACATATTAAAAATATTGTTTTAATTAAAATAGAAGTTTTTATTTCAAGAACCTGTTGGAAGTGTTGCACCAAAAATCTCCGGCGGTCGTTTACAAGAATCGACTATTACAAACAAAAGTAGCTTAGCAATCTTGTGCTTAGGGCAATCATTTCCCACACCATCTTTTAGGTATTTTTGATTTGAAAATCGTAATGTTCTTAAAATTTTTACATAATAGCCCAATCCCAATATTATTGCAATTATTTTTTGAATTTAAATTCGAGCTTGTCAATAAAATATTTAAAAACTTTCAAAGTTTGAAAAATTCAAAAACACTTTCAGAACCAGTTGGAAGCGTTGCACCAAAAATATCTGGTGACCGTCTCCAGGAAATGACAGTGAAAAATAATGCAACACTCGCAATTTTATGTTTAGGACAGTCCTATCCGGTTCCGGTTTTTAGGTAATTACATAATTTCGAAATATATGCAGACGAAAGGGTACCAATTTCCATGTTCTGAGTTAGTGCTTTGATAAGTACGATAGAAACTCTTCTATTGCAGAGCCAATTGGTCATGTTAAACCTAAAGTGTCTTCTAAAAGCATTGAAGTTAGAGATGTTCCAGTAAATGGAACTTTTGTAGGATTATGTCCGGGTCAGGCTTATCCAGTTCCAGTGTATCGGTAACACAAATACTTTGATTTCCTTATAATTAGGCATCCCCAAACGCGTTTATTAAAAAAATGCTTTTGGAATATATTATGCAATGCAAAAGTGAAGCTATCACCTAATTTTTTTTTAATTTCAATATTGCTTTATTGCCATTTAGTAAGAAGTAAAAAATCAAGTTTTAGTCATGTTTGCATTGCATAAACCAAAAGCTGTCCAATGGAGGATATCATCTTCCGAAAAAATTGCTTTTTAACTAATGACATAATTTATTTTATTCCACAGATGGTATAAATTCATTGAAGGAACCACGAGAAAACAAGCTGTCGCACTTAATGATCGAGTAAAACAAGTTTCTGGTACATTAATAATTAAAGATGCCGTTGTTGAAGATTCTGGAAAATATTTATGTGTTGTGAATAACTCTGTTGGCGGTGAAAGTGTTGAGACCGTTTTAACTGTAACAGCTCCATTATCAGCGAAAATTGATCCACCAACACAGACGGTAGATTTCGGACGACCAGCGGTATTTACTTGTCAATATTCCGGTAATCCAATTAAAACTGTATCATGGCTTAAAGATGGAAAATCAATTGGTCATAGTGATCCAGTTTTACGAATTGAATCAGTTAAGAAAGAAGATAAAGGAATGTACCAATGTTTTATACGAAATGATCAAGAAAGTGCAGAAGCAAGTGCCGAATTAAAACTAGGAGGACGTTTTGACCCACCAGTTATTCGACAAGCTTTTCAAGAAGAAACAATGCAACCAGGACCAAGTGTATTCTTAAAATGTGTAGCTGGTGGTAATCCAACTCCAGAAATTTCATGGGAACTTGATGGTAAAAAAATTGCTAATAATGATCGGTATCAAGTTGGACAATATGTTACTGTAAACGGAGATGTTGTCTCATATTTGAATATAACATCTGTGCATGCAAATGATGGTGGTTTATATAAATGTATTGCAGCTAGTAAAGTTGGTGTTGCACAACATTCGGCAAAATTAAATGTTTTTGGTTTGCCTTATATTAGACAAATGGAAAAGAAAGCTATTGTCGCTGGAGAAACATTGTTTGTAACATGCCCTGTAGCTGGTTATCCAATTGAATCTATTGTATGGGAACGAGGTAAGTATATTAAATTAAAGAAAATAAAATAGTTTTTTTATTTGAATAAAATTAAACAATAACTATCAAAATTATTCAATATTTGTATAAATTTCAGATAATCGAGCACTCCCAATTAATAGAAAACAGAAAGTCTTCCCAAATGGTACACTTATTATAGAAAATGTGGAACGGAATTCAGATCAAGCTACATACACTTGCGTTGCAAAAAATGCTGAAGGATATTTAGCTAGAGGTTCACTTGAAGTACAAGTTATGGGTAAGTTAGAAGGTTTCATTTTTTTCCACTTTTCGTTTAGCAGGAAAGTGGACACATAACAACATGGAAAGTATTAAGGATGAATAAGAAGAAACGAAATTGAAGTAATTTCGGTGCTAAATCGAATTCAGACTCAATTTATTTCAATAAATTTTGTGTCCTTAATGCTATCCTGAGTTAATTTTTTGCATTAAATTTTTTATATTTATCAAAGGATACAAAGAGTAAAACAACGAAAATATTTCATAAGATCATAACTTCGTTGAATTTAAATGGTTTTAGATTGTTTTGTTTTCTCGATTAAGTGCCCCCATTTTTGATTTTTTGTTTTTTTTTATTAAATGATATACGTAACTTAGTATTAAATGATATACATACTTAGTTTTACCACAAATTGTTCCGTTTGATTTCGGCGATGAACCGATTAATATGTATGATATGGTATCAGCGACATGTACTGTAAATAAAGGTGATTTACCCATTGACTTATATTGGACAACATCACCAAGTCCATCTAATGGACGTGAATTACGTACAAATGATGGTATTCTAATAACAAAAACAACTCAACGTATCATAATGCTTAGTATTGAATCAGTTCATGCAAGACATCGTGATAATTACACATGTGTTGCCAGAAATTTAGCTGGTGCTGCTTATCATACAGCTGAATTAAGAGTTAACGGTTAATAATATGTTCTAAAATTAAATAAAATTTATGGTTTTCATAATTTCCTTTCTTTTTTTTTTATTTTAATTTAGTAGATATTTGTTTTATTTAATTCATTTAATATAACAACTATGTACAGTAAAACTTATTTATAATGCCACTTGTAAGGAATTTATGGTCATATATATTCATGCAGATAATTCTCTAACAAAAACGCTTACTAATTTTTACGCTTAGTTAAGCACTTATATTTAAATAATTTCTCCACAATAAAATTTTGAAAATATGTGAACTTAAATGATTCAAGAACATTGAGCATTTCAAAAGTGTTTTTAGAAAAAACTGTTCAGAACTAGGTCTTCTCAGACTTAAATCCCATTTTTCTGGGTAAATACTTCTAGTGGCTTGAATATCTTTGATGTTTTGGCATTTGGGATCAAAGTTTTCATGATTTAAGAATTATTTGGTAAAAATTTTTAAATTTTAAATTGTAACTTGACTTAAAATTTGAATAAGTGATGAGAAACCGAAGATCAAAATTGAAATTTATGGATCACAGTTACTTCTGTCTATGACATTTTATAAGAAACTTAAGTACTGTTTAAAGCTGTTAAGCTTTGTGACGCTAAAAATTTATCACAAATGTCAAAACAGAATTATTATCAAAGTTATAAATCGAATTATGTTTAAATAAAATACTAGAGAATGAGAAATTCAATAATATATTGCCTAATTTGTTCAAATATTTCAATCGCAGACTAACTTGTAGGAAATTGATTATTTAATGAAAATTCCTCATGAATACACTGTGTTCCTCAAAATAGTTTACTGTATTGTAAATTATTACTTTATATAATGCGTAAATTAGTTTTTTATTAATTTTCTTTGCTTATTATAATTTTATTTTAAAATTTTAAGTTCTTCCACAAATTGTCCCATTTGATTTTGGTGAGGAAAGTATAAATGAAATGGATATGGTTTCGGCATCATGTACTGTCAATAAAGGTGACATGCCAATAAATATTGTATGGTCGAAAGATAATGGTCGATTATATACAAGTGATGGTATTTCAATTTCACGTACGAATAAACGTATAAGTGTTTTGAGTATTGAATCGGTAAGAGCTCGACATGCTGGAAATTATACATGTATTGCAACAAATCCAGCTGGGATGGTACAATATTCTGCTGAATTAGCAATTAAGGGTGATTTTGTATATAAAAAAAAATGATTTTCTTTTCTTTTCTGTAGTTTATATGAGCGATTTTATTTTATTTATTTAAGATTTAATTTGCATTTTATTTTCGATCCTTCCTAAAAATACTTTCTATCGAAATGAATTGTGGTACATATTTTCAAAGAAAATCTTAGTACTATATTACTTATTCAGATGATAATTTTAATAACTTATAAGAGTGTATTACAATTTCGAACAGTTTTACCACAAATTCTTCCTTTTGATTTTGGTGAGCCGACTGACGCTTTTGATATGGCAACCATAAATTGTGCTGTTAGTAAAGGGGATATACCAATAGATATATTTTGGAAATTTAATGGGTATCGTTTAAGAGGTACAAATGATGGTATTGTAATAACAAAAAGTGGTAATAGAATTAGTATGTTGAATATTGAATCAGTAAGATCGCGTCATAGCGGTACTTATACATGTGTTGCTGCTAATGCAGCTGGAAGTGTTGAACATTCAGCTGAATTGCATGTTAATGGTATATACTTGATAAGTTTTCGATTAGTTTCAATAGTAAAATAAAAATTAATTTATTTCATTTTTTATATATTTTTTCGAATTTATTTAGTTAATTAATATCCTTAAAAATTTCCAATTACTGTGTAGTTCCACCTCAAATAATGCCTTTTTCTTTCGGCGATGAATCATTTAATGCTGGGGATAGTATTGGTGTTCAATGCATTATTGTTAAAGGTGATGTTCCATTAGGTATTAAATGGACGCTAAATGATAAACCAATCAATGATGATGATGGTATCACTATTACAAAAATGTCTAAAAAGACTAGTCTTTTGAATATTTTATCGGTTGAAGAAGAGCATCGGGGTATATTTAAATGTATTGCTGAAAATGCAGCGGGGGTTGCTGAATATATGTCTGAATTGAAAGTCAATGGTTCGAATTGTTTGAATATTTAAAGAAAATTTATGCACTTTTTTTATTTATGTTTGCTTTTTTAATTTATTATTTTGTTTAAAATCCTGAATTCAAAAATTTTGTTCTCAAAAGTTAAGAGAAAATTTCATATGAATAGTTTTACCACAAATTTTGCCATTTGAATTCGGTGAGCCAGTAGATGCTTTAAATATGGCAACTGTTAATTGTGCTGTTATAAAAGGTGATATTCCAATTGATATTTACTGGAAATTTAATGAATATAGAATTCATGGATCAAATGATGGTATTTTAATAACACGTAGTGGACAGCGAATAAGTGTACTAAGTATAGAGTCGGTAAGATCACGACATATGGGAAAATATACATGTGTTGCATCGAATGCAGCTGGGAGTTTTGAACATTCAGCTGAACTACACGTTAACGGTTATTAATAGAATATTATCTAATTAATTCTGGGTTTTAAATATTTATTAAGTTTTTGATTTGCAGTAAAAATTTTAGTTAATAACCTCAATTCCAATTGACAGAACTCTGATAATTAACTTGATTATGATGACTTTTCTTATATTATCAGTTCCACCTCAAATAATGCCATTTAGTTTTGGTGAAGAATCCTTCAATACTGGTGATAGTATTGGAGTTCAATGTATGATAGTAAAAGGTGATCTTCCTTTGGGTATCTTATGGACCTTAAATGGATCTCCAATTGCTGAAGATGATGGAATAACCATAACAAAACTATCAAAGAAAACGAGCGTATTGAATATAGCTTCGGTTGAAGAAGAGCATCGGGGCATTTTTAAATGTATTGCTAAAAATGGTGCTGGATATACTGAATATTCTTCTGAATTAAAAGTTAACGGTTGTTAATTTGTGGTTTTTGTTGGTGTTTTCTTTTTTTGTTTATTGTTAAAATAATCCTTTCTAACTTTGTATTTATTTTAATTTTCAATAAAATTTATTCCCATCCCCTAATTCAGTCGCGCCACAAATTGCTCCATTTACTTTCGGAGATGAACCGTCAAATACTGGTGATATGGCCGGTGTACAATGTATGGTACCAAAGGGTGATTTACCAATTGAAATAAATTGGACATTAAATTTCAAACCTGTTATTTCGGGGGATGATGGAATTACATTGCTTAAAGTAAATCCAAGAACAAGTTCCTTGAATATCGCATCCGTTGATGCAGAACATCGTGGTACCTATAATTGTATTGCTAAAAATAAAGCCGGATTTAATGAATATTCATCAGAATTACATGTTAATGGTATTTTACAGAACGATTAAATTTTAAAGTTCAATCTTATCTTTTTTTTATTTAGTTTTAATTTCCATTTTCCTTCCATTTTCCTTATGAATAACAAACTAAACATACAGAATTTAATGAATTCCTTGTTGAATATTCAAATTATAACACAAAAAACAGTGTCTCCTCAAATTCTTCCATTCAACTTTGGAGATGAGCCATCAAATACTGGAGATATGACAGGTGTGTCGTGTATTGTACCCAAGGGTGATTTACCGATTGATATTATGTGGACCCTTAATTCACAACCGATTATAAATGGTGATGATGGCATAGTTCTATTAAAAGTTAATCCACGAACAAGTTCCTTAAGTATATCATCTTTAGAAGCTGAACATCGTGGCATATATAAATGTATTGCTAAAAATCAAGCTGGAACGGTAGAATATAGTTCTGAATTACATCTGAATGGTTAATTTCACATCTAAAACTCATTTTATCTAATATGTTATTAAAAATTATTTTTTTATTTTTTCTGCAACATTATTAATATTGATTCCAATTCCTATTGTCCTAAATTCTTGCCGTTGAATAGTGGCTCCACAAATTTTGCCATTTACATTTGGTGATGAACCATCTAATACCGGTGATATGACTGGAGTTCAATGTATAGTACCAAAAGGTGATTTACCAATTGACATCATGTGGACTTTGAATTTTGAGCCTATAATTTCTGGCGAAGATGGAATATATTTATCTAAAGTTAATCCAAGAACAAATTCTTTAAGTATCTCCTCTTTAGAAGCGGAACATCGCGGTATTTATAAGTGTATAGCTAGAAATCAAGCCGGGTTTGCTGAATATTCAGCAGAATTAAATTTAAATGGTTTTTATTATCAAAATTTAGATTTTTTAAAACGTGTTTAAAATTTGTTTATTACAATATTTTTTTATTATTATTTTCAAATTATCCTTATTTCCTTCCGTGTGCATCATTCCACAAAATAGTTGCACCACAAATTTTACCATTTAATTTTGGAGAGGAGCCATCAAATACTGGGGATATGACTGGTATTCAATGTATCGTTCCAAAGGGTGATTTGCCTATTGACATTAATTGGACTTTAAATTCAAAACAAATATCCTCTGATGAGGATGGTATAACTTTATATCGAATGAACGCTAGAACAAGTTCGCTCAATATTGCTTCATTAGAAGCGGAGCATAGGGGAATTTACAGATGTATTGCGAAAAATAAAGCTGGATTTACTGAATTTTCGTCTGAATTGCGTGTTAATGGTTCGAAATTAAATTCCTTTCTACTTTAGATTGTTTTACTTTAATGTTTTTGTTGTTTTTCTTTTTTTTTTGCTTTAAAAATGCCTATTAATTAATTTAATTTAATCCGGAAATTAGTTTCACCACAAATAATGCCATTTACGTTTGGTGATGATCCATCAAATATGGGTGAAATAGCCAGTGTTAATTGTGTGGTGCCTAAAGGTGATTTACCACTCAATATTTATTGGACATTGAATTCTGCACCGATAGTTACTGGCGAAGAAGGGTTTACGATAATGAAAATGAATGCTAGAACAAGTTATTTAAATATCGATTATCTAGAAGCAAAACATCGCGGAATTTATAAATGTATTGCAACCAATTTGGCTGGCACAGTAGAATTTTCCGCTGAATTATTTGTTAACGGTTAATATGATTCTTTACAATTATAAGTCTGTAGAAAGTTTTATGATTTTTTTTTTAATTTTATATTAAATTTGTCCTGAGTTCCCGTGTTAAATGTTTCGCCATTTTAAAAAAATGTTTAGATTTTAAAAACTCAACAGAAAAAAATTAATAAATAACTTAATTATAAAGATGAAATGTGATTGTGCTCTGTTAAGATTTTCTCTCTATTTTATTGCAAAAAATAATAAATATTAGTTGCACCTCAAATTATGCCGTTTGCATTTGGTGACGAACCTTTCAATACGGGTGATATGGCTGGTGTTCAGTGTATGGTAATGAAAGGTGATTTACCATTAGATATACATTGGACTCTAAATTCAGAACCAGTTATTTCTGGAGATGATGGAATTACAATTTTTCGAATGAATGCCAAAATTAGTTCTCTTAGCATTGCTTCTGTTGAAGCTGCACATCGCGGTATTTATCAGTGTGTAGCCCGAAATAATGCCGGATTTGATGTTTATAGTTCTGAACTTCATGTTAATGGTTTGCATAAATTATAAAATATTAAAAAAAAAAAATTTGTTTTTTATAATTTTTTTTATCTATAATTTAAATTCCTAAATGTCCACCTTAAATATAATTCTAAAAGTGATTCTTCTTATAACTGAAATTAAAACAGTTCCACCACAAATATCACCTTTTACATTTGGTGACGAGCCTTTAAATCGTGGGGAAATTGCAAGTGCAACATGTATGATACCAAAAGGTGATTTACCTTTAGATATTTATTGGACATTGAATTCAGCTTTAATTGTAACTGGTGAAATGGGTTTTAGTTTATTAAAAATGAATAGAAGATCAAGTGTTTTAAGTATCGATTCATTAGATGCCTACCATAGAGGAATCTACAAATGTATTGTTAATAACTCAGCTGGATATTCTGAATACAGTGCTGAATTAATGGTTAATGGTGTGTTAGCAAAAAATTCTTGATTCTCTTCTATACGATATTTTTATTTAATATTTATATTTTATTCTTAATTTTATTCCCAACCCTTACAAATTTTTAGGTTTAATTGGATATTAAGATATCAAATTTAATCCGTTCTTCATATTCGTGTAACTAGGGATTCAAGTTCATTTCACACAAAATACTTATTTTTTTTTTTTATTTTAAATACATATGTAAATTTGTAATATAGTTGCACCGCGAATACTTCCTTTCGGTTTTGGAGAAGAAACGGTAAATGTTGGTGAAATTGCAAGTGCTACTTGTCTTATACCTCAAGGAGATTTTCCCATTGAAGTTCATTGGACCTTAAATGATTTACCTGTAATCAATGGCAAAAATGGATTTACAATTTTACGTATAAACCAAAGAACAAGTTCTTTATATATTGAATCATTAGAATCGATACATCGGGGTATTTATGGTTGTATTGCTATCAATAAAGCCGGAAAAAGTGAATATTACGCTGAATTACAAATAAATGGTGTGTTTAATAGATTTTTTAAGTAGCACTAAAAATATTACATAAGCAACTATTATTTAAATTACTCGTATAGAGGAAGTGGATTTCAACTAAATTTGATACTTTGTAAAATTGATACTCAAAAAATGGTGTGCATTTATTGCAGTTGATTAAAAACTTTATGGTGTTACTGTAAATCAGATATCTTTACATTAATTGATTTGATTTCTCCTTTCATTATAAATTTTAATTGGTTTTTGAAGGATATTTTTATAAGACGACTTTTATACCTTCAGTTTCACCACAAGTTTTACCATTTTCATTTGGTGATGAGCCTGCAAATACTGGAGAAATTGCAAGTGTTAATTGTGTTGTTCCAAAAGGTGATACTCCAATCAATATTCATTGGACGTTAAATAACGCTCCTATAGTAAATAGTGAAGATGGTTTCACAATTTTGAGAATCAATCCGAGAACAAGTTCTTTAAATATTGATTCGTTAGAAGCTTTACATCGTGGAATTTATAAATGTGTAGCGATGAATGCAGCGGGTCGTAGCGAATATACTGCCGAATTACGAGTTAATGGTATATCATATTGGGTCTTAAAATTAATTTTGATGTTTTAGTATTTTTTCAAAATGGTTTTGTTATAATCTAATTTTTTGCCATTATTTTCTTTCCAAATCAATCATATATGTTCGAGTAAATTTAGTGTGCATTCTTTGCAGTCGAATTGTTAAATTGTGTACTATAAATTCATTTATAAATATAAAGTTCGAATGTATGCTTTGTTTTTTAATATGTAAAAATATCTATTTGCATTTAATTATTTAAAGTACCTCCACAAATAATGCCATTTATGTTTGGAGATGAGCCATCTAATAATGGTGATAGTACAGCTGTTAATTGTATGATAACTAAAGGTGATTTGCCATTACAAATTCAATGGTCTTTAAACGGTCAACCGATAACATCGAGTGAACATGATGGAATTACGATAGTGAAAATGACACAGAGATTAAGTTCTTTAAGTATTGATTCAATAAAGGCTCATCACCGCGGTACTTTTAAATGTATTGCTACAAATAAAGCAGGAATTGCTGAACAATCTTCTGAATTAATTGTTAATGGTTAATTTTTTGTATTTTATTTATACATACTTTAATATTAAATTTTAGATTTATTCAATTTTGTACCCATAATCTGTATGTACACACAGAGTAGTTTTTGTATTTTTTATAATAATTTTTATATGAAACTACTTATGTACCTATTGTTGTGTTTATTTTTTAAAAACAAAATTAGTTCCACCACAAATTGTCCCCTTTACCTTTGGTGAAGAAGCAACGAATTCTGGTGATAGTATGGGTGTTCAATGTACTGTTACTAAAGGAGATTTACCAATTAATATAATTTGGATGCATAATAATAGAACAATTGTATCTGGGGATAATGATATTATATTGGGTAGAATGTCTTCCAAATCAAGTACATTAAATATTGATTATATATCAAGTGATCATCGTGGAATTTATTCTTGTGTAGCTGTTAATAAAGCTGGAATGAATATTTATGAAGCTGAATTGAAAGTCAATGGTTATAATTATAAATTTGAATGTTAAAATTTTTATATTTCATTTCTTTTATTATTTATTTATATTATTGCAATCCCAACAATATTAATTATATATATTTTTTTTTGTCGAATTACAAAATTTCGATTTATATAAACGTTTAAAATTAAATATTTTTGTATTACCCCATATGAAAAATTGTATTGCGTTCAATCGAAAGTCGATATCAATGTTTTTTTCCAGCCCATGTCAATATTATGCTAATGATTATTATATTATGTAAAATTTGAACAATATTGCACATAAATTTATGTTTAATTTTTTTATTTTGCTTAATGAACATTAAATATAGCATAAATGTTCATTATTCATGGCAAAATTTGAAAAATATTATAATATTTAATAGTCATACGGGGTGATTCATTTATAAGTGTGATATAACCCTTTCCAAAAGGTTAACAAAGTCTCTTATACAATTAAGAAATTTGCTTTATTTAAAAATACTTTCTCAGATATTGGACATTTCACTATTACACATGACAATGCATTTATTAAATGAATCATCCGGGTGTCGTACAGGAACTTATTATAATTTTATTAATTAAATTTTATAATTACAATACATTGTAATTATTTGTTATGGTATCTATATAATAAATATTTCTTATTCTTCTATACACAATATAATTATAGTATTACCAGAAATTTTACCATTTCAATATGATGGTATTTTAAATGTTGGTGATTCTGTTGATTTAATATGTCAGATATATAAAGGTGATAGACCAGTACAAATTTCATGGAGTTTTTTACGTTTAAGTCATAAAAAACATAAAGATATTCAACCAGTAATGCGTACACATCGTATTAGTGCACAATCAAGTGTACTTTCAATACCACAAGCAACAGCTTCACATACTGGAACATATATTTGTACAGCAACAAATATTGCTGGACAAACTTCATATAGTACAAATTTAACTGTTAATGGTATTATTTTATATTATCTATAATATTTTACCGATAATTGCTAATTTTTTTTTTTTTTTAAAATAAATTATCCAAAGACTGATAATTAAATAATTAATTAATTTCGATATAAACAAATCCAAGAGGTGTAAAAAATTAAAGTGATAATCTTCTACTAAATCAATATAATTGGAAAAGGTTTGGAGTAGGCTTACCATACTAACATAATTTATAAAAATTTATTAGAGCGTATATTCTTATATGTAAAGCTTTTTTCTGTTTTAAATTAATAAACGCAAATCAAAATTAATTCTTTAATTGTAATGGTTCGGTAATTTTGTAAGGTTCATCAATTTCGAAAATTGTATCTAAAGTCATTATTTTCTTATAAATATTTCATTTAGAAACATTAATTGTAATTATTAAAATCATTTATGTAATTACAATAAGTTTTTAACTATTTTTTTTTTTTTTGAAAAATCCTTTTTATATTTAAAATTCAAATTATACATGACGCAATCACATGTTATTATATATATACATATTTGTACATTTTCTTCAGTTCCACCAAAAATTGTACCATTTACGTTTGGTGATGAGCCAGTAAATTTTGAAGAATCTGCTTCAGTAACATGTTTAATATCAAGTGGTGATTCTCCAATTGATATTGAATGGTTATTCAATGATTATGGTTTAAATTCTTTTTCTGGTGCATCGGTATTCAAAAGTGGAAAAAGAACGAGTATTTTAACAATTGATAGTGTTAGTGCTAGAAATGTTGGAAATTATACATGTAAAGCTAAAAATCAAGCAGCTGCTGTTAGTTATACTGCTGCACTTATTGTTAATGGTTATTATTCTATTATTAATTTTAAGAAATTTTGAAAAATTTTCATTTTTATATTTTTATTTCACTTATTTATGATTTTTGCCACCACCTAAAAATATATACATATATTATTTTTTAAATATATCAAAATATTTATCTAGTTTACTCCTATATTTAAGTAGACTAAGTTGATAACGTTATTAAAACTTATGGATATGTCATAATTGATAAAAATTCGATTTTTTTTTTTAGTTTTATAAAATTAATTGCTATTTCGATACATTTCTCTGCAGTTCCCCCTAAAATTATTCCATTTACATTTGGTGATGAACCAGCAAATTTTGAAGAGTCAACATCAATTACTTGCCAAATATCTAGTGGTGATCCTCCAATTGATATTGAATGGTTGTTCAATGATTATGGTATTAGTTTATTTTCTGGTGTGTCTGTTTTAAAAAGTGGGAAAAAAACAAGTATATTAACAATTGATAATGTAAGAGCAAGAAATGCGGGAAATTATACATGTTTAGCCAAAAATCAAGCTGCAGCCGTAAATTATACAGCGGAACTAATTGTTAATGGTTAAAATCTCTGCAATATTTTTTTTTGCCAAAATAATATTAATTTTATTTCTTTATTTTTTAATTTTTGATTTCCTTTATAAAATCCATTCCTCTCTTATTATATTTGGAATATTTGGAAATTTCAGTGTATTTATGAAAAAAAAACTGACTTAAATTTAAAACTTTTATTTTAGTTAAAAAAAAAAACTTGTATTTGAAATAAAAAATAAAATAATTGACTAGTACAAAATAATTGTGTAAAATTAACAGTCCCACCAAAAATCGTTCCGTTCTCATTTGGAGAAGAACCAGTGAATTTCGAAGAGTCGGCATCAGTTACATGTCTTATTTCAAGTGGGGATTCTCCGATTGATATAGAATGGCTATTTAATGACTATGGTATAAGTGCGTTTTTTGGAATATCAGTTGTCAAGGGTGGAAAACGTAATAGTATGCTAACTATTGATAGTGTCAATGCAAAACATGCTGGGAATTACACTTGTTTAGCTAAAAATCGAGCCGCGGCTGTAAACTATACAGCTGAATTAATTGTTAATGGTTAAAATGAAAACAAAATTCTTTTGTTTAAAAAAAAAATAAAATTTTTATTTTATTTGTTTTTTGTTTAAATTGAATGTCATTTATAAATCCTCTCCTCTGTCATAATTTCTAAATGAAATAATTTAAAATATAAAAATTAATACTCGTATGTTAAAAGAAATGATTAAAAATTATGTTCATATATAAAATAATTATAAAAATTTCACAGTTCCGCCAAAAATAGCTCCATTCTCCTTTGGAGAAGAACCAGTGAATTTTGAAGAAACAGCTTCAGTTATGTGTATTGTTTCAAGTGGTGATTCTCCGATTGATATAGAATGGTTATTTAATGACTATAGTATAAGTGCGTTTTTTGGAATATCAGTTTTGAAGGGTGGAAAACGTAATAGTATGTTGACGATTGACAGTGTTAATGCAAAACATGCTGGAAACTATACTTGTTTAGCTAAAAATCGAGCCGCGGCTGTAAATTACACAGCTGAATTAGTTGTTAATGGTTAATGAAACCGATATTCTTTTGATTTAAAAAAAATTTGAATTTGTTTTTTTATAGTTAAATTTTTATGTCCTTTAGAAGTCCCGTCCTCTCTCGTAATTTTTAAATACAATTATAAAATATAAATACTAATAGATATGCGTATTTTGAGTAAAATACATGACTTAAGTTAAAAGTTTCTTTTAGTTTGAAATCTTTGCAATCAAAATGATTAATAAATTAATAAGTTATAATATATTCATAATATATTCATACAACTCTAATATAGTTCCGCCAAAAATTGTTCCATTTTCATTTGGAGACGACCCAGTGAATTTTGAAGAAACGGCATCAGTAACGTGTATTGTTTCAAGTGGTGATTCTCCGATTGATATAGAATGGTTATTCAATGACTATAGTATAAGTGCATTTTTTGGAATATCAGTTTTGAAGGGTGGAAAACGTAATAGTATGTTGACGATTGACAGTGTTAATGCAAAACATGCTGGAAACTATACTTGTTTAGCTAAAAATCGAGCCGCGGCTGTAAATTACACAGCTGAATTAGTTGTTAATGGTTAATCGAAAATTTTTACATATTGCAATTTGTAGAATCAAAAATTTGGTTTTTTAATCAATATTTATTATTTTATTTTCTTAATTTTTTTCAATTATTTTTGATATAGTCCCACCAAAAATTGTTCCTTTTACGTTTGGGGAGGAACCAATCAATTTTGAAGAAACGGCTTCCGTTACTTGTATTATATCGAGTGGAGATTTTCCAATTGAAATCGAATGGTTATTTAATGGTTACGGTTTAAGTACGTATACTGGAATTTCAGTATTAAAAAGTGGCAAAAGAACGAGTATATTAACTATAGATGGCGTGAATGCCAGAAATGCTGGCAATTATACATGTTTGGCTAAAAATGATGCGGCAGCTGTAAATTTTACAGCTGAATTAACTGTTAATGGTTATCTAGCAAGAGAATTAAAATTATTTCAGTGTCTTTTATAATTGATTTTAAAATTTTTTTTAATTTTAAATTTTAATTTCATTAAAAAATTTCCTAGATCCTTAAAAAACTTATGTATATTGTTTTTTTGTTTTGTTAATGTATATGTATAAATTATAGTGCCACCGAAAATAGTTCCTTTCTCGTTCGGTGAAGAGCCAGCTAATTTTGAAGAAACTACTTCTATAACTTGTATCATATCAAGTGGTGATCAACCTATTGATATTGAATGGTTATTTAATGGTTATGGTTTAAGCACATTTTCTGGTGTATCAATAATCAAAGGTGGAAAACGTTCTAGTATATTGAATATAGATAGTGTTAATGCTAGAAATGCTGGAAATTATACTTGTAAAGCTAAAAATCCTGCAGCAGCTGTAAATTATACAACTGAATTGGTTGTAAATGGTTAATATTTTTGATGAGATTGGTTTTTTAAGAATTAGATTTTTTTTTTCTTTGTAAAGCTCAGTTTCTAATTTATTTCATTTCATTTGGTATTTTATTTAATCCTTACCTAGTCCTTAATCACGATTACAGAAATTATGAACGCCATATTTAAAATGCATAAATTTATTTAAAATCTAAAATAAACTTATATGAATAGTATTTTTTTTGATTTTATTGAATAATTTGATCTTAAGATACAATGAATAATTGTTGACTAATTTTGAAAATGCCGTCATTTTAATAAATAAAAAATATTTGACAGTCCCACCAAAAATTATTCCATTTACTTTTGGAGAAGAACCGGTAAATTTTGAAGAACCGGCAACTGTTTCTTGTTTAATTTCGAGTGGAGATTTTCCAATTGAAATTGATTGGCTTTTTAATGGTTACGGATTAAGTACATTCCCTGGAGTATCTGTAATTAAAAGCGGAAAGAAGACAAGTATATTAACAATTGAAAGTGTAAACGCCAGAAATGCGGGAAATTATACATGTATAGCACGGAATTCTGCAGCTTCTGTAAATTTTACTACGGAACTGATTGTTAATGGTCAATATATATATATTTTTTTAAAGATATCTAATTTTTCTGTAGACTATTTTTATTTTGTTTAATAAATTGTTATCCATTTTTATTTTTCCCCATAATCAGTTACTCTAAATTGTATGATAATTTGAAATGTGTTCAATGTTATGTAAAACCACGCATAAAATCCTTTATTAACCACTTTTACGTGCAATAAGCACAATATGTTCTTGAAATTTAAGAACATATTAAAAGTAAAGATTAAAATTTGTAAAAACTATTTTTTAAAATTTTTTTATTTTTTTTAATCTCAGAATTAAGAGTATGTCAGTTTTTGTTTTGCGAACAACTCCAAGACTACATAAGATTATTATTATGACAATATTCTCATATTTTAAAATGTGTGTATTCAAAATATTTTTATTTAATAGTGCCACCAAAAATAACACCTTTCTATTTCGGTGATGATCCTGCAAATTTTGAAGACTCAGTTTCGGTATCATGTGTCATTTCTAGTGGTGATATGCCAATCGAAATTGAATGGCTTTTTAATGATTTTGCTTTAAGCGAATTTTCTGGTGTATCAGTGGGAAAAATGGGT